GAATTTGTCTACTTCCCTGAAGCTACAGTGTCTGGCACAGAGTATGCATGAAAGTGAACTTGAGGCAGTTCACCTAGCTGGCAGTCTCCCTGCGCAGTCTCCCTGTATTTCTAGCCCACCTGCTGCAGGGCTTTGTATGCAGATGGGCTTGTTCCTAGTGGGGCCCAGGTGTCTAGAAAACATGCCTGCTGTGCATGACTAGAATAGCTCCTCCTCCAGTGTAGGCCCCTGCTCTCTTCTGTGTGTGGAAAATTTGAACAAAATTATGTCTTGGAATGCTCTTGACAGTGGAAATTCTGGGGTTCTAAGATCCTGGTCCTGAGGCTTTAAAAGACCTGTAAAGGATGCAGGACTGTAATGGCACCTCCAGCACAGTGGCAGTGCAGAGGATTGTAATCTAGCTCTGTGGCAATAAATGTGGAACTTTTGGGATGTTGACCCTTGTGATGAGCAGAACATAGAAGGCGCTCTGAGTGACACATCATAGAACTGAGTGGTTAGGTTACTCAGGGAGGATTGACACTAGGGAACATTCTGGAGGAGCCAAGCTTCCACAGGGCCTTAAGGATGTGGGAAGGTCAGGCCCCTGATTTGGTGGTGAGGACATGTTACAGTAAGGCATCAAGAATGAATGGGCAAGTCAGGCTGTGGGTCCTACCGAGCAGTGTTGGCCCTGTGTTCAGTGTTTGATTTCATGTTGTAGGCTGCACTCCGACTCCCATTTTACAGATGCAGCAAGGTGATTCCGTCTGGTTCTGATTCTCTCCTTCATGGCTTCGGGAATTGGCAGACTGACAGTCTAAAGCCAGGGATCTGCTTCTCCAAATAAAGTTTTATTGGAACATAGCCCAGAGTCACTTGTTTCCAGGTTGTTTATGGCTGCATTTCACAGTGTGATGGCAGAGTGGCAGAGAATAGATTCCTACAAAACCTGTGCTATTTCCTGTTTTGCCTTTTACAGCAAACAGTTGCTGACTGGCTGAGTTGGGTAGCTGAGTAGTATACTTGCTGCGTGACAAGATATTTGCCCTCTCTCAGCCTGGCTGGCCAACTCCCAAGGGTTGTAATGAAGCTCACAGTTGTTGGTTGTGAAATTTATTTTGCAAACTGTAGTGTGGTATCCTGTCTCCAGCCTGATACCTGGTCAGCACTAAGAGTCTGCTACCTGAGAGAGAAGAAGGTCAGTAGGCCTTCCTGATCCTTGCCTCTGCCCACTGCCAAGGCTTCAGGAGGTGCATCTGGGCCCAAGATGCTGAATGCAGCATTGTCCACTCTCACATAGATTTGGCAGGTTTCATCACAAATTAACATTCTTGTGGGAGTCACCTTATATGTGGTGCCACTTTATAGCCAAGTCATTAGGGTAATTTGCCAAGCTATCTGGGGGAGCCATTTGCTTCAGGTTTGCTGGCTGCGACTTCATTCAGGGTACGCAATCAGTCCATTTAACACATCCCAAGTCTGGGGGTCTGTCCTGAGTTTGGCCTCAGGGCCATCCAGACCTGGCTTTTTGGGGGCTAAAATGGATCTCAAACATAGCCCTTGTAGACTTGAGGAGAAATTAAATAGTATTATTATTATTCATAGAGGACTTACTATGTGCGAGATACTCTGCCAAATGCACTGCATTTGTAACCTCCCCCGTGGCCACAATTCTGTGAGGTAGGTGTCAATGCCATTGTCCAGATAAGTAAACTGAGGCTGGATGTGGAAACCAGATCAAGTCCTTATCTTGATTCTGAAATACCAGCCCAAGCTCAGCTAAGAATATGCTGTATGATTGTGGAAGGCACTTGCTGTCTCTGAATCTGTTTCTTCATGTATTAATGTAACATATGGTTAATTCTAGCCCTGACAATCTAGGGTTTCTCACTAGCTTTTAAAAATGAACTCAAGGTGCCATTACTTTCCAGCTTTCCACAGGAACTTAATTTGCATGGAGAAAGCTAGGTCCTGGCTCTTCTTGGTATCATCCCTCTCTCTGGTCTAAGGGTGTCAGGATTATGAGTATACACCACTCACTCCACAGAGGAGGTCCATTGTTGATCCCTGTAGATCTAGCATGAACAAGAGTGGGCTTTACCTTCTGGGTTTGTGACACATTTGGGAATAGAGAGGCCATGCTCCATCAGGCAGGAGACAGTACCCACAGCTTCCCTGGAAGACAAGGGTGGGTAGCACCCCCACCTTTCCAGTGGCAGCAATATCTCTGGGACACGCACTACAGCTTCTGGTTTAACTTCCAGCCTTTGCGAAAGTAGGCAGCCTGGGGCAGAGTCTGGCATACGCCTGGACCCTGGCTATGCCAAACATTGCTATACAACTTTGAGTAGACACTTGCCAATACTGTGTCCCACTGCAGGATTGGGAGGTCAATGCCTTCCCCCAGGACACTGTGGTGGTACAGGGATAAAGGCTAGACGGGGCTTAGAGCACTAGCCAGTGCCAACTATGACTCAAGGGACTCCCCCTGTCCCTCCCACAGGTTTTATTGGAGGAAAACCTCTGTCTCGAGCAGAGAAGCAGCTCACAGGCCCAATGACTTGTTGATAATATTGTTTTCCCACAGAATTGATCTCATCAAGCCTACCACTCCCTGTGTGACTTTGGCAAAATGTGTAACCTTTCTGATCTTCACAGGAGTCCCAGTGAAGGTAACCAAGAGGCAGCAGAACAGACGTTGGGCCTTGAAGTTGAAAAGATCTAGATCTAGATCTTGGCCTTGTCCATTATACACCCTGAACCTGGTCAGAGGAACAGAAACTATATGCTTTGGCTTTCTCCTTCTGGGAACTGGCTATGTAGATTGCTCTGAATGAACACTGGGAAGACTTGAAGAAGGGCTGGATAAATACTAGTTTACTCTCTACTGTTCATGGCTCCAACTTCCTTCATCATACTTAGCCTCCTATGTGAAGGAGGAGACAAGTGACCCAGTGGTCCCCAAAGGTCCTGATACGTCCTCAAAGAAAGCCCAGAACTATACCTACCCCCAGTGAAACAGCTCTGGGAAAGACCCCAGTGAAACAACCCACATGATGATTAAGTGCTCTCTGTTCCAAATGCTATTAATGGTCATAAAATTATCCACAGTTTTCTGAGGCCCAGTCCCAGGGTTTGCCTCAATGGGACAATAAAATTGCATGCAGAAACGATTTGGAAAGGCGAGGACAGCCAAGCAGAGACGGAGTTAAATGAGCTGAGCCTGCTCTCATTAATTCAGGCCATTCGCATTTGTTACCAGGGATTTCTTTTTAATTAAAAAACAACCAAGTTATTAAAAAATAAGCCTATGAGGGGCTGGCCAAGCAGCTGCCAAGGCCAGCAGAAAACGTGTTCCTCACAGCAGGACAGAATGGGCTCAGGCAGGGAATGTGGTACAGAGCAGATGTTTATCTGAACCCCCTTCCACAGTCTTGCCTGAGCCCCTTGCCTGCCATGGGACCTTGAGATTGGTGCATTCTCATCTGCAAACTGTAAAGTGAACTGGGTGGTGAACACTGAGGCCTGTCCAGAGCCTCTGGCTGTCTGGCTTCAAGTTAGTGTAACTTAGCCTCAGCAGAGAGAGCTTTGTGCTGAAAGGACTGGCTTGGGGTAGGCTAGGATTAGAATAGGGCAGGTGGATCCCTGGGCTCTCTAAAAAGCCACGTGGTGCATAGCGACTAAGATGCTTGAATCTAACCTAGCTCAGGAGCTGACTAGTCACATGATCTAGGGAGAACAGTGTGACTTCCCACAGCCTCAGTTTCCTCCTCTTTCAGATAGGGATGATAATATCCATGCCTGCCTTGGAGGGCAGTAGAGCCCAAGTGAGTCTGTACCTGTAGCCAACACACACCACACTGGTGCTTCCTGTTGCTGTCTTATCCTTGGTTAAGAGGCTGGTATCTATTTTTTTTTGTTACTGTTTTTTCTCATCCTAAAGGCCTAAATTGCTCAGGATTGACGGTGTTGGAGGACACACAGGCCTGTTGATAAGGTCTCATTACATCTGTCCAGGCACTTACAGTTCTAGGATTCTGTGTAACTGGAACATCTTTTATTCCTGGTACTTCTGCACCTACTATTTGATTGCCCTTCTGCATTCTGCCTTACAGCATCTTGGAGAGCTGGGGTGACTGTTACATCTGAGTTAGGGGAGGAAGGCTCATCCAGAGATGTACCTGTGGAGTTCTGGGCAGAGAATGGACTCACATCATGGTCCGAGAGCTCAGAGCCCATACTCTTCATGCACTAGCATCACTCCTAGAGGGAACAGGGAACAAGTCCCCAAAAGAGTTTACAGATTAATTGTGCTTACCTGGAGCTCAGAGGCCCAGAGAAGACACGAGCTAATAGCAACCATGCCTTACATTTTTGTTACTTTCTGTAGTTCTTCAAGGTTTTTCCTATCTTTTGCTTCAGTTAACCTTCACAGAACCCCAAGGGTAGGAAGGGCAGGAATAGTATAGATAGAAGTGTCAGAGGACCATGAGGGTGAATGTCTTTCTGTAGTGAGATATTGTTTGGGAAACAGTATAAATGGTATGTTAGTACCAGTAACAGCAGATACCTCTTTGGCACACCTGGCCCACATTGCTGCTGGCTCCTGGGCTTGCTCATACCAGCACAGATACAATACTACTCTAGTGACCAAGGTCTGGCAATAATAGACTATGAGCTTCAAGGCACCATGAATTGGTCTTGTTAGTGTTTACTGCTACTATAATAGCATGTGGTATACAATAAGCACCCAATATTTGTGTAATGGTTATTTAACCACTAGAGCCTTAGCATCTGTATCTGAAAACTTGGGATTTTACTAAAGATTCTGTTGGGTGGTTATAGGAATTAAGCAAGGTTATCACTGTGTCTCAGCTACAGCAGAGGTACCTCAAATGGCTCCAGGTACTTTGTCAGGTACCTGATGCCCAGGTAGCCTGATACCTCCCTGCTCTCTGCACCCCTCTGCAGCCATCCATACTCACTTGACTCTCCCTTTTTCCCTCTTGTCTGTTTAGTGAATGGGAGCTATGGCCACTGCACCCCAGGCTCAGAGAAGAGCCTGCTGGACCTGGACCTGGCCGAGGGCCCTGGCCCCACCTGCCACCAGGGCCTATTTCTCTCCACAGGATCTTCACCATCCCAAGTTCATCCTACTGCCTGTGAGAGGCTGATTCATTTCCCCCACTCTAACAGGTATGTGCCCATCCCCATTCATCTTTCATATCCTGTGGATATTCTCAATATCCACAGAGCAGAGCCTCAGGATCTCACCTAGTCTGCTTGGCTTGTGGGTTAAGCAAGGAAACAGACATATTAGGTACAGGAATTTTTCAGAGCCTGCTGACACAAAGATGCCTGGTCAAGATCCTCCTATTTGCTAGGACTTATAAGAAACAGAGAAATATAGCCTTATAGAGGTGCATGTACACACTTCAGCTAGCTGAAGCGGCTTTTTATAAGCATTAGTAAATTCAAAAGAGAAATACTTAGGGTATGTTGGAGAAGGAAAACCCATATAAGTGTTCATATGTCAAACTCAGCATCTTCTAGGGCAGAGCTCTGGCAAGAAGAAGGCAGAGAGGCTGTGCTTTCTCATCTCTTCCCAGTTGACTTTCTCTTCCCTTACTCCCTTTTGTTGCCCTTATTCCTCCCTGCTCTCAGTCACTATCTCTGGCTTTCTTTTCTTCTGCTTCTCACTCTCAGACTTAACTGCCTTCATCCGCAGTTTCCACTCCAGCCCCTGCCTGCGCCTTTCCATTGAGGAGTACCCACCCTCTCATGACCTCTCTGGCCACTGTCTTTCAGGTCACCCAGGCTCCAAACCATGTATGTGAATGGTAGCCTCCCAACTGGACAACATATCAAGCAGGAGGCCCTGCCAGACTACCAGGCTATGGCTGAAGTCCGCACACCCCTGTTGACCCACTGCCGGGCCCCACCCAACACTAGCCTGCATACAGACCTAGATCTTACAGGCCGAGGCCTCACCAACCCTGTGCCTTCTTGCTACATTCTGGGTAGTGAGCCCAACTCAAGCCTGGGCTCCCAGCTGGAGGCCCATCTTCCTGAGAGTGGCCTGAAGCGCTGCTGCCTCTTGGGCCTGCCCCCAACCTCCTCAGCCACCTCCTCATCCTGCACCACCTCTGATGTCACTCCAGTTATGCGCTCCTCCCAGACAGCCCTAGTCACTTGTATAAATGGACTTCGGAGTCCCTCTCTACCAGGAGACCTGGGGTGCCCTCCCAAAAGGGCCCGGTCCAGCTCTGTATCCACTGAAAGCCATGAAGGCAGTTTACAGCTTGAAGCATGTGGAAAATCAGGCTTTCTGAAGCAGGAGCCCATGGACGAGTTCTCAGAGCTCTTTGCACCTCATCAGCAGGGCCTACCACCCCCCTACCCGCTGCCTCAGTTGTCAGCTGGCTCAGGCCTTGGAGGCCTAGGACTGGGGCTAGCAGGCAGGATGGTGGTAGGGCGGCAGGCGTGCCGCTGGGTGGACTGCTGTGCAGCCTATGAGCAGCAGGAGGAGCTGGTACGGCACATCGAGAAGAGCCACATTGATCAGCGCAAGGGTGAAGACTTCACCTGCTTCTGGGCTGGCTGTGTGCGCCGCTACAAGCCCTTCAATGCCCGCTACAAGCTGCTCATCCACATGAGGGTACACTCAGGAGAGAAGCCCAACAAGTGCATGGTGAGTCTCCAAGGCCCAGTTTTCCCCTAACCTCAGAGCCTTAAGCCTGGCTGTGGGCAGCCCTGGAGAAGGCTGTGCTGTCTTATTGTCCCAGGAAAAGCTTCCCCAGAGAGGGAAATTCCCTGCAAGGTACAAGGCTGAGATGTGGTGAATGGTCAAGGTGGTCAGTTCCTCCATCATCAGGCATCTAGGCAGTGTGCCATGTATTCTTACCAGGTCCCCCATACTCACAATGCAACAGTAGACATGCATTAAATGTTCTCTAGCATGTAACATGGCATGGTGCTACATGGGCTCCACGTTCTAATCAGGCTTGGCCAGCATTCTCTTTTATGCACATGCTCCCTGTATCACCTTCTGCACCTTCTGATGGCAGATAACCCATGGGAAGCTGAAGTTCCTGTAGCACTGGTCATCAGCCAGCATCCTTCCCAGAGAGATTCCTAGGGCTTGTCTGCCCACAGCTTTGGCTTCACTAAGGGGTACTTGGTCCTCACAAGCATTCTGCTCTACAACTCTAGGTCCCCAGGGCAGGATGAGAGCCAAGATTAGGGATTAGCAGCTAAGGCTCTGCATAATACCAGCAGAGCTCAGGATGGAGATGAATGTTAAAGTTTATGGGAAAAAAAGATGCACCTGTGTGTGTGCGCGCACATACACACACACACACACACACACAAAACACACACACACACACACACCTCTATTGGTAAGCATCTCAGTCTCTAGTCCTCTGATGGATCATTTTGTATTCTGTGCTTGCTATGGTACAAACTTGTATCAGAAGCCAGGAACATAATCTTAGTCCCTAATACTATTTGCCAAACTACTATGCCTCATCTGGCCTTTCACTTGCTAGGCCTCAAGGTAGTCCATGAAGCAAGAAGGATGGCCAGTTAGGCATGGCCAGCCAGGCTCTAGGCAGCAGTGCCTGATCTGCAGGAGCTAGTGTCATAGTCAAGGTCAAGTTCTTCATGCTTATGTACTGCTACTATTGCTGAGCAATCTGGAAAGAGCTAGGATTCTTGCTCAAAGATCATGGTGGCATTTGAAGGAGCAGGAAACAGAAGGCAAGAAGAGTTGGCAACTTCAGTATAAACTCATCTTCCTGGGGCCCACTTACCCTCAGCGTCCCTCTACCTGTGACACCATGAACTAGCATACACTGGGTCAAATCTCCAGTCCTTGAAAGATGAGAAAGGGTTCACTTCATAAACAAGTGGTCAGCAGAGAACAACTCACACTGAGGACAAGAGAAAGAGGGGCTTGGGTTGGTGTTCTGGTATGTGGAGAGGTAGTGGGAGAAGCTGGATGGAACAGGCTGTGAATTTGACTTACCATGTGCGTTTGTGCTTTGATTGTGCTTGTATGTTGGGGGAGGGGTACTGTGACTGGGCCAGTCTCTGGAGATGCCCAAGATCATCTGTGGTCCGTAACATACTTGATAGAAGCATGTCCTACCTTAGAAGAGCTATAGTGTCCACAGGCCAAGACTTCTGGAAACTGATGGTTCATTTTCCCCGAGGCTTTGGAATAAGCCGCAGTTCCTCATCCTATTTCCCCTCCCTGGAGAAGTTCATGGTATCAGTGGGGGCACCTACAATGCTGGTCAGGGAGTCCACAGTGTTGATGGAAGCCTAAGTGGAAGACATTTAGTCTGATGACTCCTACATGACTCTGTAATGTAGTCAATGACCTCATAGTAAGGCCTTCCATGTAGAATATAAGAATATTCACATTAGAAATTTGGGACCTTGACATGACCTATGCCTTTGCTGCCTGTTTTCCAGCTTGGAAATAGAGACCATGTTAGGAGACCATGTTTCTCAGTGCGATCTTAGGATTTCTCTCCTGGGCCAGACTGCTGGGACTTGGTTTACTTCCATACTCCATAGGATACTGGCTTATGCTTGGCTCCTCACTATCCCTCTGGGAATCCAGATCTGAATCTGTTATACTGAGGATAACACTTATACTCAGGGATGGGTCTCTGAGCCATCTGGGATCAGGCTAAGTGACAGGTCCCAGATAGATTACAATGTCCTCTACTTCTTAGAGGAGGTGGCATCCTAGCCCACTGGTGAAACCTGGGAGTTTTGCAGGTGAAAAGGCCTAGCCCATCTCCTACTTTCTCCTAGAAGAGTACTTGGCCTTAACTCTTCAGAGTTAGGAGTGTGATGAGGACACCAAGTACTTGCTGAGTGCTGACTATATACAGGTGCAATTTTCAGTGGTGGCCCTTTGTGGTCCTCATCACAGCCCTGTAGGTAGACATTGTTAGCCCTCATTTTACAAATGAGGAAACTGAGGCTCAGAAAGACTGCAAAACTGGTTTCAGGCCACACAGCCAGAGACAGTAATAATAGAACAACAATAATAGAGACTAAGAATAATAATAGTCATCATAGTAATAAAAATAAGATGTTCCTAAAATATACCACTAGTAACTATTACAATGGGATTTGAACCCACATCTTTCACAATTACAATGTTCTTGTTTGTGTGAATCTTTCATTAAGCCAATGGTTCTCTGGACCTTCAGGCCCGCCCTGCAGTGTGCTACCATCTGCTGAGGGGAACAGCAACCTCCTGACCTGGCTGCCCAAAGCATCTGCAGAGCGTCCCCTAGCTTCTTCTACTCATGTGGATTGGGAAGACTCCCTACTACATTACTCGTACTGTAGGTAACCAGGGGACAGGACAGGCCCTAGTCTACACCCAGATAAACAAAATTGGCCTTCCCTGTAAAATTATTAATTTCTTATGGCAGGCCTCCGCTACCATGCACTGTAATAGACAAAGGAATCTTGGACCTACAGTCTCTGGAGAGCAGGAAATAGATGAGACATTTTGATTGAGGAGTAAATGGCCCACTAACATAGCAGTTAATCCTTTTATTATCTTCCCAGCAGCATTTCCACAGTGCTTTCATGAGGTAAACTCCCCTTACCCTATCCAACTATAACACCCCCATCCTTGCAGCTGGTTTAAATTTAGCCTGTGGAGCCTCTGCAGACTCCAGTCAGAAACAGGCCTCAATACACAGAGAGGAGCCCACACTTACCACTGCCTACCTAGCACCCCAGTTCTGAAGCCAGACCTGGACCTGGGACCCATGGCTCCTGCCCTGCTCTTCATGTAGTCCAGAGGAAGCTCCTTAATCTCTCTGCAATATCCTGTTATGGTTCTTACGTTACTCAAGTTGTCTTAGCCTTATTAAATTTGGGGCTTCATCTGCGTTATGATAACAAGGTTATATCCAACCCAAATACTGACGCGACGCCTTGAAGACGTAAACTTTGAAAAGATTAGTTTCCTGCTTTCTTAGGTTGGTTCTCCAGACAGTAGGAATCCTCATTGTCTGAGACTGCATAGATTAGAAGCCTGTGGAGCTTTTGTACCAGGAAAAAGAGAGGCGGAGAGAAAAAGGATGGCTTCTCAGAAGTCCTTTCTCTGCCTTGGGCTTTGTGAAATAACCACAGAGATCCCTTACTTTGGTGGAGATTTTAGCAAAGTTGTGACCCTGCATGGAAGGCATGAGCAGAAGTGAAAAGCCCAGGTCTGGAGTCATACACTCCTGGGTCCTAGCCTGGCTCTGTCACTTGTCAGCTGTGTGACTTCAGGTGACTTATCCTCTTGGAACCATAGCATACTCAATTGTAAAATGAAGCAGTAACAGTACTTGCTTTTTAGGGATTGTTGCTATTAGAGTTCAAGAGGTGATGCAGAAAAGTATATGGTTACTTCCTTTCTTCCTGCAGCACTTTTCCATATTGGTGGTCTCTGGAGATTATTAGTATAGTAGCCCTAGTAGGCAGTAGGGTTTGGATTTTTCATAGATTAAAAAAAAATGAGTGCTCAAGGGATGCATCAGCAATGGAGCCTAGACTTGAGGTTGGCAGCCCCTGTTGTATGTGAGGTAGGTGGGTCAACTGCTTAGGTGTATGATAGGGGACCTTGCTGTATGATAGGGACCTTGCTGTCTGTATCTGCCAGAAAGCTCTGATCCTTTGGGGGTTGTTTATACACCCTGCAGGTGGCTGCTCTGAGTTTCACAGTGTCAGTACAGGGTACCTGGTACTGGAGGTACAGGGAAGAGGCTCTAGTGTGCCTCTGTCTGGGTGGCCAACTGGAGGCCCCAGCACTGGATACATGTGGACAGCTTCTGGTCACTGCTGTCTATCCCTTTTGCCCCATCCCACTGTTTGCTGGTTTGTTCCAAGTGCATTTGAACCTAAGACACAGGGAAATACACCTGGTGGGAAGCTAAACATTACTGATGGGACTTCATCAGCCGGAAACTCATGACTGCCTAAGTGGACCTTTTGGGAAGCACTGCCTCTGCTTAGCTTGTACCAATTTTATACTTATCACCAGGGCCCTGGAGATTCTGGCTGCCCCTCTTTACTCTGCTCCCCAACCCCATCCTCACTGCTGGCCCCTCAAAAACAGGATAGGTACTAAAAGTTTGGGAGCTAGAGGAAGTTACTGTTCACTGAGACTTACAGATTTCTTTATCCTGGCTCAGTAACCTACTTCCCACTCCAACTTAGAACAAAACTGCTCAAAGCTCTGAGGTCTACAGGGACTACATTACCATGTCCCAAAGACCACAGTCTGCCAGAGGTCCATGCAAACCAGACATGCTGACTTTCCCTGTGAGCTGAAGATGGACAGTCTTCACTGAGGTCTGTGATCATATCACATGGTGTGTTCAGAGAGAGAGAAAGAGAGAGAGAAGAAAACTCACCTGAGGCAATTCTGTCTAACCATGATCATGCCCATTTTATAGGAGAAGTCCATGTGTCTGTGAACAACAGACACCACTTGCTCAAAAGTTGCCTTGCTCCCTGGACCCTCCCCTGGGCCACTTTCCTTATACTCATCCTTTCTGCTCAGCTTCTTCCTTCAGCAGCAAGTCACCTCCACACTGTTCAGGTCACAGCAAGTGGAGTTGTCCCTGGGCATCTACTTCCTTGTCCCATTTGTGCTAAGAGCAG